AATATCCAGGGATAAATGAACTTTCAGCATGGCTGGATCAAAGGGACCTCACTGTTATCAGGACTCAGACTTTCTGTCTTTCAGTCTTGCTTCCTGTCACAGAGCCTTCTTCTCCAAAGGGCTTTCCTCACGGAGGAGTAAAAACAGCTTTAGGGAGTACACGCTTTCACGTTCCAGCCATTCTGAGGAGAGACCGCTGATTGGCTCTGGTCATGTGTCTGTTCGTAAAATCAGTCACCACGGTGGGAGAGAGATGTATTCTGATCTTCCAGAACTAGGTCATGTGCCCCTCCTGCACCCAAGGCATGAAGTCACCCCAGTCCGGATAACAAAAGATTGGGGGAGTTGTTCCAGAAAGATGCTGTTCAGGCAAAGCTGCTAGTCCACTAAGGAAAAGTAAAAGAAAACTTCTAGAACTGTAGATGAGCTGTGCCAAATAGTAGAAGGGAAGTCTGTTAGGAAAAGGCCACCGCTTTTAAGAGGCAGGTTAAACTGCACCTGGTGAAATACCGACATGAATTTATACCACACTTTACCATGTTCGTTAGTGAACGGGACAGAGACAAGAGCTATTTGAGAACATAGTAGAGACTGTTGGAAGGTCTCCTAGGGAGAGCAGTGGCTGCATATGTCTGAGCCAAGAAGTTTCTGGTAGAGAGAACGATGGAGAGATGGATGACAGCATTACCCTAACAGAACCTGGAGCCAATGGGAAGAGAGCAGGCTAACAGTCCAAGACTGAGGCAACAAAAATTTCCCCCAGATTATGAGGTATGTGGGCCCTTTGGGTTTTTGGGCCAATTGTCATCTCTCTAGAATAGACAGGTATGCTTCTTTCCAGTAAAGCCAGTGATTAAGTACACCCAAAAGATTCTTAGCCTCTGTCTGCCTATGTAATTGACCAAAAGGCTTACCTTTGGAGGAGTGGTTCTCAAAGTGTGGTTCAAGTGTGGTCCGTGGGCCAGCAGCACCATCATCACCTGGGAACTTGTTAGAAATGCACATTCTCCGGCCCCACTCCGGTTCTAATGAATCCGAAATGGGAGAGTTGGGGGGCGGACCCAGGCATCTGTGACCTCCAGGCGTTTCATGAGACCTCCAGGTTTTTCTGATGGTGATTGAAGTTCAAGAGCCACTGCTTCAGATCATCCCTGTCCCCCCTCCATACCCCACTGGGGTTTCCTTAACGGTGGCTTTGGAAAGCTGTAAGAAACAAGACTGTATGTGGCGACTGTTCAAAAGCCACTAATGAGTAAAAATGTAATAGATTGGAAGAACAACAGAGAGAAGGTGAAGTTATAGATCAATTGTTCTCTAGTCCATGGAGGACTTTCATGTGCATAGTAGGATGGTAGCGTAGGCGCTATGGGTCCTTAAAGGACAGAGACAGGTGAGAAGGGCTTAAATTACAGCTGTGGAGTAGTGATGCCTTTGGAGTAAGGGTTAAGTCGTAGAGCTGGTTTTGGATACAGATCATTTAATTTAAATTCAGGCTCTCCTACTAGACACTGTTAGGAGGCTGCAAAAGAAAAGCATGGCAAGGTTTCTTTCATCAAGGAGCTTATAAACTTTTTAAGCCTTCAAGACTTAAGTCAATTCAGTGGAGTATAGAAAGACAGTATAATGGAGTGCTGAATTGAAAAGGACCTTGAGTCAAAATGTGTGGAAGAGACCGTAAGTGGTGTGGGCAGTCAGGGGAAGGAGAAATTGGCATTGTGTCATTTTCTTCTCTGGACAGAGGATGAAACTGTCAGCCTCACATAATTTCCTAAGTCTGATGACAGGGGTATTAGACGCTCGGTTTCAAGAATACCTTTTTCCTGCTCTCTCTTTTCCCTCCCAGTTTGCTAAAGTTTGTCAAAACCGCTAAGTCAAAGTGAGGATGTGTATTCCGAGACTTTGAACTTGAAGGTTATTAAAGTTTTTGGTTATATGAGAAACTTGTAGGAGGAATTATGTTTCATCCCAGATGTCTTAAATGGGACGAGACTTAAGTAGAAGCTTGGCCTCTTTGTTTCAAACGCTTTCAAACTTACTTCATTCACGGGGAAAACATGAATGAACCTGTCTGACGATGACTTAGTTTTGCAGCATGAAGAAGGCGAATTACTGATTTTCCTTAGTGGAAGGCTTAAGCTGTACCAGAGTGGGGATGATAGGAAACAAGAAAATACTTCAGATGAACACTGCATCTGCACTGCATTTTACTGCTTTGCAGCATGCAGCTTACCCGGGTAAATAAACAGATAACTAAACTGAGAGCCAAATGAGAAGCCTCACAGGACACTTTTGACAGTGCTTTTTGAGTCCAAGAGAGAGACAATAAAAACATCTTTTTTAAATAATTTTTAAAGTGTTTTTTATTTATTTCTGAGAAAGAGAGAGAGAGAGAGACAGCGTGAGTGGGGGGGGGGGGTGTCAGAGAGAGAGGGAGGCACAGAATCTGAAGCAGGCTCCAGGCTCTGAGCTGGCTGTCAGCACAGAGTCCGACGCGGGGCTTGAACCCACGAATCGTGAGATCATGACCTGAGCCAAAGTCAACTAAGCCACCCAGGTGCCCCAAAACATCTTAACAGGAAAGCAGAAGCCAGCAAGTTCGGAACCTGACCCAAGTCGCTAGGAAAAGTTTTTCAGAAGTTTATGTGGAATATGTGACCTGTTTTTAGCTGTTTTGGGGGGAGGGGTTTCGTACCTGCAGCTGTGGCACACAGGTATTAACAGAGGGCTTCCTTTCATGTCACTGTCTATGATGATGGGGTGATGTGAGATGCATTAGGAACCCAGACATTCCCTTTGCTGTCACATCAAGTATACCACCTGCATCAAACTGTGCTCTTCCAGCAGAAACTACTAGTGTTTGTTGTTCTGATGGCCTGGCAGTCGGAAAGAAGGAACAGCTCTTATTTCAAGGTATTGACAACATTTCTCCTGCTCATTTCTTGATAAAGGAGACCCAGTTGAGATGGCCAGGGGAAAAAAACAAAAGATAAAATACCAGAGATTAGTCGTATAGGTCCAGTCGGATCTCATAACCCAGAGGCTGTTTTCTAGGCCTGGCAAACTTTGCTCACATGTTAGTGTTGTCAGAAAAGCCTTCTTAAACCCCTCCTGAGTGAGGTACTCCCGTCATGATTGCAAATCACGATGTCCCTTTTTCCTTCACCCCGCCTATCTGACCCTCAGATTTGGTACATACACTAAAGATGGTGTACCTTCATTCTGTCGTGTCTGTCCCCCTCGAGGCAGTGAGCTCCGCAAAGGCACAGTCCTGGCCCATTCCATTCACCGTTACGGACATAGAACCCGGTGAGTATAGTAAGCACCAAGTAAATACTCATCCAGGGAATGAATGAATAAGAAAGCACTCTGTACACCCGAACCTAATATGGTGTATCCATTATAACTCAATGAAAAAGAAGAAGAAAGCACTTTGTAACCTGTAGTCACTGTGCAAGCCCAGGTTAATTATAGTAGCTGATCAGTCGCAGACACCTCCTTTCTCCCTTCTGTCCTAACTTTTGGGGGGACTTTTTTTTTCTAGTTAATTTGAAGCATACTTGTCAGTGTTCTACCGATTCCAAATCTGATTTGCTGTAATTCAGTTTGGCCCTTTTTTGAGATCAGGGTCACATTATCCCCCTCCCAAAAACAGTGCTACCCCAACCAGCAGGGACTCCCGCCCTCGCTCGGTGTCTGCGTCAGGCTCTAGGAGGGAAACATGGCGGCCACTTGTGGACGGTTGGGAAGCAAAGTGGGGTCTCGCGTAGCACTTCGGTCCTTCGTTTCTTATCGTCCCCCAACCCACTCATGTACGTCCCTATACCTCAAGCGTGCTTCTCAAGAATACACAAGTCAAAAAAAAAAAAAAAAAAAAAAAAAACAGGATCATATTGGCCCAGCGAAAGCTGTTCCTGGCTCTGTCCTAAAGGAGGGAAAACATCAAGAAATCCAGGTGTGGAAAATATTAAGGATCGGGATGTGAATAGGTCTTTTCTTTAAAAGCAACAAACAAACAAAACTTCTCCAGTCCTTCTCCAGCAAGGCCTCCGCGTGCCACTTCTGTGTGTGTGTGGAAGTGTTATCCTCGGTGGGTGGGAATGGCAGACAGCCAAGTGGAAAATTTCACAGCCTTGCAAACCTCCAGTGCACTAAACCCCTGTAAACCAGTGGTCAGAGGGAGCCGGGTGGCAGGGACCCACTAACGATGCGCCTGCACATGCCTCAGTCACCCACCCTCCCCTCCCCCCTTCCCTTTGCTTCCCGCTCTGATCCAGGCCTGCGCTTTCTCTCTGCCTGAGCTTCCCGAGGGCTCTGTTTCCGGCCCTGGGCCTCCCTGGACCCGTCGGTGGACGGGGAGTTGTAGCACAGCAGCCCATGCAGACTTTTGCACGTTTCGGTGCCCCAGGGATAGTTGACTGTTGGTGCCTCGCCAAAACTGGCTTTTAAATCCTGGCTCCGAGCTCAGTAACAGGCTTATGACCACTAATAATACTTGGCGTTTACATAGTGCCTTTCTTCCCCGGGAACTGTGAGTACTTTGCAAGAGTGATGTCACTGATCTTCCCAACGAGCCAGCAAGGTATGGAAATGGCCAAAGGTGATGGTCCCAGGTTCTTCCCTTCTGCAGCGAGTGAAATCCACAGGCATGTTTTGAGGCTGTGTTGCATATTTGCATCTCAGCTGGGATTGCATCAGGAGTCTCCCAGAATTGGCTTCAACTTTATGGGGTGGGGGGGGGAGTGGGGAGGTGTTAGGAGAAGGCAGGGAAGGTTGGGAGCGACGGGCGGCGGGCGGGGGGGCGGCTGGCCGGACCATGCTGTGTCTCCTGGGTCGGGAGCCAAGATACTAAATTTCTCTTTTAAGGAAAGGGTCCTGGCGACCGGTCTCCGGTGAGCTGTCAATCTAATCAATCTGATCGTGAGCCTTATTTTGTTGAGATCAGGAGTGACTGGCTGATGCATTTACCTTTTCCTTTTTCTTCTCTGTGACTCCCGTGCTAGGTATTTCTCACTCCTCTGGAAGGAAGAAAGAGCACGCCTGAGCCCGGAGCACTCCAGCGCCTTGTGGGAAGTCTCCACGGTGAAGGATAAGCCAGGGCTACCTGTGACCAGCGCACGCTGAATGTTGTAAGTTAATGAGACGCTGCAGTGGCTTGCCTTGGACGGTGTTGTGAATTGTGGGGTGTCACTGAGCCAGGGCGATGAAGGGGTATTAGCGTGAGTTCTAAGCGATCATCCAATTAATTTCTTTTTTTAGAGGAGTGGTTCTGTTTTTATTTGCCGGGAGCCTGCCTTTCTCCGGGCTTCTGTGGGGCACTGCTCATTATCTAAGAGAGGAATGTATCCAAGAGAGGAATACAGTGACTCTTTCACTGTTGGAAGGCCCTTTCTCCTGGTTCAGTTACGCAGTGTCAGGTTGAGAGCAAACTCTTTCAACAGGGCTCTTACAATTCTCTTAGGTTGGTGGCTAGGGGCTAGAATTCTCTGGGCTAAGGATTAGCAACCAGGATTTCCACCCAGCAATTACTTGTATTTATGTGAAGTTGGGTGGTGGTGGTTTTTTTTTTTTTTTTTTTTCTGGAATGAATTTTTTTTTCTGGCTTTCAAAAATCTGAGGTATGCAAATACAGTCCGTTGTTTTTGGATGCTTCTCTTATTCAGACTTGGCCGAGGTCCTGATTTCTATCAAGGTGCAGGGGCAAGATTTGGGGGTTAGTAAAGTATCAGCCGCCGGTTGCTTTTCATGAGGAATTTTAGTATCAAGAAGTGGAAGAGATAGCACACTATGGTTATCAAGGAGCTTATCCGCTGCAAAACTCAGGAACCTTACACGCTCTGTTGCTTTCTGGAGATGTTACCTCATTGCTAAATTGTGTCCAAAGGAAAAAAAAAGTTTACAAAGTTTTAATTAGGGAAAGAATACGGCTCCAGGAAACCCAGAATTGGCTATGAATGTATCTTCTTCAAGTTTGAGAAAACTAAGAACCAGCTTTGACCCGGACTTGTGTGTGTGTGTGTGTGTGTGTGTGTAAAATACATACATGTTTAATACATACATATACATATTTAATATATGTTACATATTTGTGTATACATTATATATACATAAATACATATTTTATGTGTATAGATATAATTTTATATAATACGTTTTTAGCTTATTTAACAAATATTTTTAATGTTTTATTTTTGAGAAAGAGAGAGAGAGAGTGAGCATGAGCAGGGAAAGGGCATAGAGAGAGGGAGACATAATCCGAAGCAGGCTTCAGGCTCAGAGCTGTCAGCACAGAGCCTGACACAGGGCTCGAACTCAGGAACCGTGAGATCATGACCTGAGCCAAAGTTGGACACTTAACCGACTGAGCCACCCAGGCGTCCCTCTGTTTAGCTTCGTAGTAATTCAGTCAGGAACCTTTTCCAGGCATTTTTTACTTCTGTTTTTCCAGTTGCACAAATGACTTTGAAAGAGCAAGATACAGCAGTATGAGTGCATATGTCAGGGAGGAAAAGCATTAACACTGAAAAGAAAAATTTCCACTGAATATTTTTTAATTCATGATTTACTAAAAATTTGTGTTAAAATATGCATCTTTTGGGGCGCCTGGGTGGCTCAGTCGGTTAAGCATCCAACTTCGGCTCAGGTCGTGAACTCACGGTTCGTGGGTTCCAGCCCCGCGTCGGGCTCTGTGCTGACTGCCAGCTCAGAGCCTGGAGCCTGCTTCAGATTCTACATCTCCCTCTCTCTCTGACCCTCCCCTGCTCACACTGTCTCTCTCTAAGAAATAAATAAAACATTAACAATTTTTTTTTAAAATATGCATCTGTATCCATGTTTCCTCAGGGTTAAACGGTCCTATTAAAATAAGCTTATTAAATTTAAAATCTCCCAGTGCCTCACAGTCACTGGTGGGAAACACCGGAGTTTTAATATGTTGACATTTAGTGCATATGACCATGTTGGTTCTGGTGGAATACATAGCTCCCAGAATCAACAGACCTAAATTCGATTCCTGGTCCTGGGGTTCAGGTCAAGAACGTCTGCAACCTTTGGCAAGTCATCATGAAGTGTTACTTTCTTTGGTCTGTATGCTACTGTTTATTTTGTACATCTGTATACAGCAAGAACCTGTTAATTGATCGGTTGACATCGGGTTTGGGGTCCCCTAAAGGGGCACAGTGTTGTGTAAGGCACTTGAATACTTACTAAAAAAAACTCTCTCTTATTGTATTAGTTTCTGTCACTATTGGGGTGGCTCTGTTGGTTGAGCGTCAGACTTCATCTCAGGTCATGATCGCATGGTTCATGAGTTCAAGCGCCACGTCAGGCTCTGTGCCAACAGCTCAGAGCCTGGAGCCTGCTTTGGATTCTGTGTTTCCGTCTCTCTCTGCCCCACTTCCTACTCTTGCTCACTCTCTCTCTTTCAAAAATAAACATAAGTTTTTTTTAAAGTTTCTGTCACTGTTAAGGAATAATTTGGATCCTCAAGTAGTAGTGTATTTTACTGGAAATTATCTTCCCAAAAAGGTGGCCGTTAGAATACACTTCTGGTGACTTCTTTTTTTCTGGTGATGTTTTAGAAAGCATTTTTATCCTAGGAAACAAGCATCTTCTGGAAAAGGCTCTAGGTTTCAGGTTACATTTAAATGAATAATGCAGATACTAAAATCAAAACAGCTTTTGTTTCAAATCTGGTGGGTTTTTTTTTAAAACCATTGCTTTGAGATGCTCATGTGATACCCTGTCAAACCCCAAACATTAAATGAGGTTTTCAAAGAAGTTCTGAAGTGTTAACTTAAAAATGCCACATGGCCAACAAAAGTAATTTTAAAATCCTTCTGTGAAGGGCGTGTGCTGAGAGAAAGGAAGAGCGTTCTAAATTCTAGTGAAGTCCTCCGGAGCTGAGGACTTCCTCTTCCAGCCTGCATTTGCTCTGCAGGGAGTGGGGGGTGGGGGGGGGTCCCAGTGTTCTCAGCAAGTTGTGACATGAGTAATCTTGGTCGTTAGTAATCTTTTGGGGATCCGGGTGCATTTTTACATGGAGTGCATACTTTGGCGTCCTCGCTGCCCCAGAACCTGTGCCATTGGAGTAGGGAAGGCAAGACATTTTAAAAGAACACGTGCTTGCACGTAGCTGGGGTTGGAATGTGGAGAAACATTTGAGTAACCGTGATTGCAGCTATTGGAAATAGGGGCTTCTGTCCTCAGAAGTCCCACAGATTGAACCACAAACGTACTGCTTCCGTGGGACCCCTCGCCTGTCGCCATTAACCACTTCTCAAATCTGCCACCGTCTTCCGGGAGATGAGTATCGCTCCTGGAAGGGTCTCAGACGGTGGCATCTTCATACAAGATGTGGTATCTTCGTACAAGAGAGGGATGGTCATGAAAACTTGCCTACGGGTCGGGAGATCTGAGTTCTCTGCATGATGTTACCGTTAACCTTGGAACTTTGGAACCCCTAAAGCCCCAGGGGCCTGATTTATGAGGAGTAACATGAGAAAGTTGACTTAAGTGGCCGCTGGTGGTTTTTCCTGCTCTGCAGGTCTCTTTGCATAATGTGTCAGCTTGGACGAGGCAGGTAGGACCTTCATTTTTACTCCGTTTGGCTTCTGAAAGTCAGTGATTTGGCACAACTTCAATTTACAACTGGTTTTCTTTTTTTTTTTTTTTAAGTTTATTTATTTTGAGAGAGAGAGAGAGCACAAGCAGAGAGACGGGGGCAAGAGACAGAATCCCAACGAGGCTCAGTGCAGAGCCTGATGCAGGGCTTGAACTCACGAACTATGAGATTATGAGCTGAGCAGAGATTGAGAGTTGGGGGCCTAATCAATTACACCACCCAGGCGCCCCTACAACTGCTTTTTAAAAAGATGAGCATAATCTTATGGTTATATATATATATATATATATGGAGAGAGAGAGTAAGAGAGTTTGTCATCATCATGATATCCTTTCCACAGGACCCTCCCAAATACCACAGGACAACTCAAAGGTGTTATTTGAGTGCCTTTTAAGAATATAGTTTTAGTCATTTAAATTAGGGTCCACAACTCATGGGGTCTTTTCAAAAATTACATACGAGTCACTTTTGTTAATTGTTTTTCAGTGTTTATTTTTGAGAGAGAGAGAGACAGTGTGAGCAGGGGAGGGGCAGAGAGAGAGGGAGACACAGACTCTGAAGCAGCCTCCAGGCTCTGAGCTGTCACCCCAGAGCCCAACGTGGGGCTTGAACTCACAAACTGCGAGATCACGACCTGAGCCGAAGTCGGACGCTTAACCCATTGAGCCACCCAGGCGCCCCGAAGATGAGTCACTTTTGAAATTAAGTTTTTAAAAACTGTCCACCTCCACACTCAAAGATAGCTTCGCATATATATGCAAGGAAGCAATGGTCTCGATTTCTTTCTTAAGCTTCTCTGCTTCTTAAGTAGGACTTCTCGAGTTACCTTTCAAAGAAGCATCTCCTGGTCTGTATAATACCCACCTTGTCCCTCTGTGCTCCTAGCCTACTTCATTTTCCTTTGAATCACCTCTGTGTTATATATTTATTTGATAATTGTCCACCTCCTCGACTAGACTGTAAGCCCCATGAAAGCAGGGCTATTATTGTTATTATCATTATTACCAGATGGATCCACAACACCTTTGGCTGTTTGGCCTATAGCGGGTACTCAGTAAATAGGGGTTGACTGAATGTCTAAGGAAAGTGTGCATTACCCCTTAGAAAAGAGAATATAAACACGGTTCTCATGAGACTTGCTTGAATCTGATAGTATTATCAGGTTGAGGTGGTGGCATGGAGAGATCTATGTATTTTCTTTTACTTAGAAGTAGATACTAAGTGTCTATGATGGGTGTAAGTGAATGTACAAAGGAAACAATTTGTTTAAAAAAATGTTTTATATGACTATCAATAGAGTTTGGGGATTTTCTCATCAGGTGCTGCACCTGGTGGATTTCCTCTCATTTTCCGTTTGAGTGGTTTGCTTTTATCGGTTGTTTCTGAGCCGCCTGACCCAGCCTTCTGTGAATGGTGGTGTTTTCGTCTCTTACCGTCACACCATTTCGTTACCATTGATGTTTACGCTTGTTCCCAAAGCAGGAGTCAGGCTTCAAGTATGGGATC